CAGCTGGCTTGGTGCACAGGTTTATGCTGAAAGAAAGTGTTGGTCACTATCAAATTGTTTAGAGAGCAAAAGTCGACTAAAAGTTGACCATTCTCGTTTTGTTGATCTATTGTGTGCTTTCCAATTATATCACCGGCCGTTTGAGACTGTTGTAGGCCAACTCGAGCATTGAAATCTCCCATAAGTAGAACCATATCACGTCTCGACACTTTATCCATGGCCGCCTGTAAGCATTTGTAAAATTCAACTGAAGCTGCACTTTGAGCCTTTTGCCCATTTGATGGATTTATTGGTGCATACACTGCTAACACTATGAAATTGATAGGTTTACATCCAAGACGAACCATAATTATCCTATCATTGATAGCTTCCCATTCAGATCCTGAATCTTTCCACACTTTTGCGGCTTGTTTGTTTAAACACACCGCTACTCCATGAGCTGAGCGTGTCTTATTGTCATTTGATGCACCAGAATGAATGATGGTAAAATCGTCAGTTGTTAATATTCCTGAGTCATAAATAGCCGTTTCGCTCAAAGCTGCCACTTGAACTCGGTATTTTTGCAGTTGTTTCACTATTAATTCATGTTTTGCTTGTCGAAAACACGAGCGAACATTCCATCCACCGATAAAGGTAGTTTTACGTGTGTTCACACTTTTTCGACCTTTTTCCATAGCCATCACAAGTTTAATGTCCTTTAAATAGGGGGCTAGCCTAGATATAAGACGGGTTGGCTACCGGCAGCCCAGGGGCGCCTCCCGCCACCGCAAGCGGCAACCGGACCCTGTAGATATTTCGAAAAACATCCCCGGCAGGCAATATCTAATTAGAGGAAGAGAGGTCTCATGAGCGTAGGAGGACAGAAGAAGAAGAAAATATTTCTGATTATCTAATTAAGTTAACTAGTCACGACTGGACGTGGCTCCGCTAATCGTGATTAATCAGAGTGTAATTTCGATTCACAACTAATCGCACTTTTTATTTAATACCAATTAACGATTATAAATGTCAATCAAACGGATATGTGATTGACCGCAACTGTTCGGCATAAACAAAGCCTCGCGATTGTAGGCGACCTTGTTCCTAACTGAGATAAATTGTTGCTGTTTGCTAGATCTACAGTAATAGCATTTAAAATGAAACTGCATGTATCGGCATCCAAAAATAATCCGGATTTTACCGACAGAATCACGATTTCTAATTCGAACACGATGAAACGCGAGCGAACAGGAGATGCGACTAAATCTGATCTATTTCTAAGTCCCAACCAAACTCGATCTGAATTTCAGCTTTGAGCAACTGATGAAAATACTGATCGCGGTCAATCGAGACTCAAAATTAATCGCGATTTTATAGGATGAAATCGGAATGAATGATCAACGATCGGGTAGTCCTTTGTTTGTTAGGTAAGCATTTAATCGCTATTATAGCTTCTATCAACCTGTTCATTCAGTTACGTGCAATTGATACAGCACGCATACTGATGCCGACAATGGCACAACTAATCGCACTTTTTATTTAATACCAATTACGCGCAGCGGGGTTCCAAGTACCAGCTCAATGATGCAACTGCAGCTGATCTTTTTGAGCTGATATTTATAATATCCTTTCCTAGATGCCGACAATGGCTGCCGACAGAAGAATTCATGTGAGAAAATGAGAATGTCTCATTTTTCCATTACCACTTAAATCACCCTTTTTTGAGAGAAGTGTTGAAAACACCTCCAAAGCTATAAAGCTAAACTTTAGCTTTTGCACAAGGCAGTTTAACTTTTGAAAAACTGCTCCTTCTTCACAGGTTTTTACCAATTTCTGTGCGATGCTAATTTCTGGGTGAAGAAAAAAATGTTTCTGTACTTTTCTGCACAAATTTTCATTCCAGCAGCTATGCTATATTAGTGTATTTGAGTCACTATCATGCATTTATTAACATCTACCATGATCTGAAGAGAAAGTCGGAAAGCCATTCTGCTGCGAGCAGCTTTAAGAACTGATTACGCTTGTTAATTGGCATAAAAAGTGTATCTTCGTTTCGTGCTCAGCTCCGATATTGACAGCTCTGTATCTCAAAAAGTAAAATCTAAGTTACTCGTTACTAAAAACTAGCTGGACATAGAGTAGAATCCGTGTACTTCAAACTGACATAAACGCGAAGAGTGATCCATTCTAGTTAAAGTTATTTTAATCTCTCAAGTTAGCAGAATACAGAGTAATTTTATAGTGAGTGCAGTGAACATTTCAAAGAAAATATAAAATTCGTCCTATTCATATTTTATCGCATAGTCTAGTACCGTGCTTATATATAACAAAACTGAAAGCGGTACATTTGATCTCTACAGTTAAACTCTTTGTTCACAAAAAAAATATATGGCATCTTCGTTCCAGTATTCAAAATATTATCGTGTCATAACCGCCTCGTATTTTTCACAACTCGACAGTTAATCGGCGCCAGTACACTCTCATTTCTGTCCCAAGTTGAGGCCACCTTCAAGCTCAACTGGAAGAAACATCCTTTTCCTGAAAGATCTTTTACTCTATTCTGCACGAATCTCAAACAATATGCGTGAAGACGCTCATTTGTCAACATGATTCACTTTAATCAGTATGTTGTGATAGATATGACCAAACTAAATGTTTTGGGAAAAACGAGGGCATTCTAAGAAGGCAAGTCCAGCAATGAATAGACAATACTAGCTTTATGCAGAGAATAACAATCATATTACTCTGTTCTATAACGTCATTTTGATTATGACATGCTAATGAAAATTCGTGCAGAAAAATACAGAAACATTTTTTTCTTCACCTAGAAATTAGCACCGCACAGAAATCGGTAAAAACCTGTGAAGAAGGAGCAGTTTTTCAAAAGTTAAACTGCCTTGTGCAAAAGCTAAAGTTTAGCTTTATAGCTTTGGAGGTGTTTTCAACACGTCTCCCAAAAAAGGGTGATTTAAGAGACATTTTGATCTATATATTTTTTTCTATTTTTGGATTCCATGATCAACACTGGGGCTATGAAAAAATTTTAAGGTCGTTTGGACTTGATTTCGCCGAGTTATCGAATTTATAAAATTAGGTGTGTCGAAGATTTTCCAAAAAGTGCCCTTCGTGATATTTTGCCTATAACTTCGCCAAATTTTATCCGTTCTATTCGAATGACGTCTCATTCCAAAGTCCATCAAAAAATGAACAAAATCAGATGTTTCTAAACTTTTGCGACCGGGAACTGGACTTTTCCGAAGCCTACCATTTGAAAAATGACTAATTTTAAAAACAAAATTTTTTCAATAAAGTTTATTTCTCTCCATCCAGTAGACTTCCCGCAAAATGTAAGGCAGTGCGTTTTGTAGAGCGTACAATTCTCTATATAATGAGCTATAAAACTTTCTTTCACAACCTCAGGAACATGTTGAAAAATTGCTTGCAATTATTACCATCAAAGTAATAATACTATCATTTTTTTTAAAAGTGCAATCTTTCATGAAAAAAAATGCAGCTTTTATATTAAATCAAGTACGCTGATGAAGCTACAAGTGGTTACAGACAGACATATTAAAAATATTTCAATATTTTATTTGACACCAGTACGTTTCCTCGATGACGAACGTTTTTTAGCCGGACGAATATCAGTCGTTGATCCGGCTCTTTTATCTGGTTTCGAGAGGAAGCTGGAGGTGATGATTGTTCATTGCTAATTCCCATTGAATTTCTTAAATTATTTCTTTGCTCAGTCTCTTCAGCTACCTGATTATCGTCAAATTCATCGTCATTTTCCTCCTCCAGTCCGTCTACAACTACTGTTTCTGTTTGCTTTTCACGTATCGCCTTAAAACGTGAAAAAAACGATCTGATCAGGCCAGGTCTTAAAAACTCGGCTGGTGTGAAATAGAACCTATCCTCCAAATCGTTCTTTCGTTGCATTTCAGCTGATACTTCCTCTGGTTTCCATCGAATTCTCTGTTGTACACCCTCATCAAACTTCTCCATGAGATATTGTATCTGAGATTCATTCAGACGTGAAACTTTCGTTCTTTTGCCAAAGCCTATTCTCTGTCAGGTGGTGTAATACGGTTTGTATCATCAACATCATCAAGTGTAGTCTCTTCTAATTGAAGACAAATCATTGATCTTGCTCCAATATTTTCCAGTTTCTAGTGATAGATAGCCATACCCATGTCCCTCATGGAACTGCGTTCTATCCGACGTCGATGTTTTCCTGTATGTAAATGTTGAGTTAAATTTACGTATCTGATAAACGAAACTACACATCCCTCTTCGGGACCGTCATACAGCTTACTTCTGTTAGCCTGAGCCGCCGATTCGAATGTAGTTGTTGTGGTAATCGAGGAACGGTCGGACAGAGTTTTACGTTCTTTAGAAACTGGGATAATAGGCGACAATTGTGGCTTAGAGGAACATGGTTGACATTGTAGATGACCTATAACTTTCGGCGTATCCAATAATCGCCATTTAATTAATTTATCATCGGCGACGTTCCATGCCCTGTGTACTCGTATACCATGCTCTTCAAACCCTACTCCAGAACTTTTTCAGAAAGGAATATGCGACACCTACGTATGTACATAAAGCAGCCTTCAAAAACATAAGGAGGAGTATTGTACGTCCCGTCAGACTGATTGGTCCTATTTAGTAACTTGAAAAACTTCTCCTCGTTTCTTCTATTCATCAGAAAGTGGCGTCACTTTCCCTCGACGAGAATACACGAACTATGTTTTTATGGGACAAATTCACATGCATCGCCACCACTTTCCTCACATTATCTCTTCGTCACAATCGATTCCTTCTTCTCCTCGCTTCTTCTATTCATCAGAGAGTGGCGTGACTTATCGTGTGTTGCCGTA